TCAGTCTGGATGATCAAGTTCAAACTTCACACACACATGGTACATCATGTCACAATAGATATGTGCATTTGTTTCATGATCCGCTTAACAATAGCTGAATGATGGCCATTTAAGGTCGAAAATGCATCAAAATCACGTATTTTCACAATTCCGGAACCGGATCTCAGTCATGCATAGATGGATTTTGTTCAGATTTAGTGCATATATTAAACAAAATTTAAGCTTGATGCATACCAATTTTTCTTCGGATCAAGTTCAAAATGGCCAACTGGCGGCCATTTTGTTTTAAAGAATTTAGTTTTCGATCCATATTTCGGACATGCCTGGACAGATCAAGTTCAAACTTCACATACACATCATACATTATATCATACATATGCCTGTGCATTTGGGCCAGTCCTTTTAAGGTCAAAAATTCACAAAAATTGCACATTTTCACCATACCGGAACTGAATCTATGTCATGCGTGGGCAAATTTAGTTTAATTTTTTTTTTGGATTGTGTTGAAAATGGCTGACTGGTGGCTATTTTGTTTTACTGAATGCAGTTCAACATCCATATTGTTGCTGCTTTGAATGTATATGTCACTCAAATATGAACAGAACAGGGACGTGTCATTGACAATGACTTGTTTATATAAACACATGTGCTTCTGATTAAGCAAATACGGTAATTTCCTAACCAAAAATACATAACGTCATAAACAGTAGAGCAAAAAGCCTCTTTTCTTGTGGTATTTTTTTAATGTCATTTACAATAATGTCCTCCCTATTTTATTCCTGTATTATATGTGGTAACTTTGCATTCCAAAATGTTTCTTTATTCCATTGATGTGTTTTTATTTTGTATGTGCTCCCATCCTCCTTCCCCCAGGTATTGAAAGATACCACCTAGATGTACCTGAGAATGGTGACGATACCAGTGATGAGGAAATAACTCCACTCACACATTTACAATTACCAGGTTATGATTGATTCTCATCCAGTATTTATGCATTTATTTTCCTGTTCTCACTGTTTATAATTAATGTTTGCTCTGCTTAATATATCCAGGCATATATGCTAGCACTTTATGATGCATCACTTAATCTATTACTTAAATAGGTTAAAACTATATTGTAGTTTCAGCACATTGACAGCCATGGACCCCCAGATAATTTGTTTGCAATGTGAATCTCATTGCATTATACTTGGGTTAACTAAAGAAATGTCACAAGTTTCCAAAAGCCTACTAGAGCATAGCTTATGGTTTTTGATATTCATTTTAATGATAGAATTATACAAATAATTTGCAATAATGGTTTTACCATGTAAATTGTACCTATCAATACTTCAGCAATAATATTTTTGCTCCACTGTCAACAAAGTCAAGCAGAGCTAGTATATCTGTATATCTCTCTAAGATTTTTTAATTTTGTAACAATAACGTCAATTCTCTAATTTTAGTGAATGTTTTTGTCATTTTATGTAAAAAATTTATTTTCAACCCTAGAACTTTTTCTTTGAAGTTATATATATATTTATAGGTACCTGGAACTCTGCCACCAAATTGAGTTGATTTATTTCTCTATCAGATTAATTCATTTAATTTTACTTAGTATTCTCACAATGATGATTTATGGAGTTAGATACCTAATTTTGTACTTGCATGTCATTCATAATTTATTTTCACATTTAGGGTAATCATGTTGAAATTCTGAATTTAATGTCCACCTCAATCTGCATCATAGATTTCTACTGTATTTCTAATTTGGATATAAAGTAATTAGGGAGTAAAAGACATATATTGATTCATTGATAATTCCTGTAGGAGCAATCTATCAGTTAAGTTATTGATCTAAAATGACAGATCTGATATATGATTAGTATCTGTAGAAATCAATAAACATGTCTTACATAATATGTAACTGTAAATATAATTTAAATTAACATACCCTGATTTCTAGAATTTTTGAACCAGGCTTTAACCTCAGCATGGCCTAATACAACAACTACAATAATATACAATCATTTCTTTGTAGCTTCAGTAATATCATTCATCACTATCTCATTTTCTATCATCAGGATAACCCATAATTCATATCTCTATAATATGAATGCTGAGTACTGCTAATCTCTTAAAGGCTGTATGCTACTATATGCTACTATCTGCAGTCCATCTGTGCATGATTTGGCTCATCTTGATAGTTCAAGATTGAATACAAATGAGCAGTTCTGTTGTGTTGAACACTTGTTTTCTGCAAAGTCTGCTGGATGTTTTGGTTGTGTCCTGTCGCAACTCTGTTTGGTTGTAAATTTATATCTATTAAAATTATCTGTGCATTTGGCAAGTTAGTTAAAAAGTAGCATGCATTCTTTGCTTGTTTTGTTTATCTAATTAATAGATTTTCTGAAGTGGCATGTATACCTATTTACCAGTTGCCTAAAACTGTTCTGTTTTCTTATTATAGCTGACTTGAATGGCTTGAAAGAAGAATGCAGTAGTCTCAGGAAAAAGATACACACTGTGGAACAGGAACTTAGAAAGTATGTCTTTAATGTAGTCTGTATTTTGTTACGTTACCCTGTAGTACTGGCCTGTAGTTAGATAATAAAGGATGATGCACTGCATGTTATTGCATGATTAAAGTGCAAGGATGAGGATGTGTGCAATATTGGATGAATCGCAGTCAGGCTTATTATTTAGATGAAGCCATATTATCACGTAATTATGAGCAGTGAAGAGTCATTTATTTTAATTATAATACCATGAAATGCCAAAATATTGAATATACATAGTATAGTAGAGTTAGCTTGAGAACAGAGAAATCAACACATTGTAGCCATTTTTATTTTTGGTAATAAATAAACGCTGCTCATACTGATAAATATGATATACCGTTAAAGTCCTAATATAAACCGCATACGTAATAGTAACCGCACCCCCAATTCCGGCTTTGGGGTTAAAGAGTTCTTAACAAAAATTGAAAACTTGAAAAGTACCTATTACTAACCGCACCCCCAATTCAACAAGACCGTGACTGACTTCATTGTTTCAACCAGCTGTTCCAAAACGGCATTGTTCCTAATCCTATTCATTTGTTTCGACAACATGCCTAAAATATTCACACCTATTTATTGTTCAGCGGTGATAAGATGTCAGACAGGCAATGAAACTGCTTTTGTTCTGGCGGCGACCTCTGTCAATACTCTTTCTGAATACGTCTGGGTTTCGTAAGTTTTAGACATGAGCTTTTATCACCGTAAAAGTGTTAAACTGAGCATTGAAGATATTTATCTGTCGAAACA